CAAATTTTTAATTAAAAACGAGAAACTGAATAAAGCATAGTGCTTACTTCTGGAAAATTAGCCATTACAATTGAAAATTATAATAAAAATATCAATTCATTTTGATTGCATCAAGTTCTTTTTTTAGATGTAAAAGAGATTTATAATCTCCATCATGAATATTTTTATTAACTATTTCCTTCCACTTTCCCATGTCTTTTCCAGCAAAACACAAGTACATGGAAACAGAAAAATGAATGCCACCAAGACCCTCAAGCTCAACTTCAAGAAAATGCTTTACTAGGCTACTGATGCCTTCAGCATCACATTTATTGGTTTTCCATGTGTCACCAGCAATAACTGGAACAAACGAATTATAATCGAACTTTGTACTAAATGCATCAGCAAGGCCATGATAAATGTCATAGTAGTAGTCACCAAAACTAGCATATACTTTCGACTTCATAGCTTCATCTGTAGCAGCATGCAAAACCATGTACTGATATTTTTTAGAAGTACCATTTTCAAAGGTTACTACTATATCACTATGAATACCAGCTCCGGTATGAACCAAGCCATTTTTCAGTAGGACTCCAACCCACACTACTTTAAAAGGACAAGAAAAGACTATGCATTTATTTTTAAATTTCATTGCCACTTTTCCATCTGATTCAACCTGACCTATTTTATCCACATAATCAGTGAAATACAATGGATGAGCAGTCGTCATTTTAGTAGCGGTTGATTTAGTATCAGTAACGGTTGATTGAACAATCATTTCAGTAGCAGTTGATTTAGTATCAGTAACGGTTGATCGAACAATCATCATTTCAGTAACGGTTGATTCGGTATCAGTGACGGTTGATTGAGCAATCATCATTTCAGTAGTGGTTGATTTAGTATCAGTAACAGTTGATTGAACAATCATCATTTCAGTAGTGGTTGATTCAGCATCAGTTGATTGAACAATCATGTTATTGGCAGTAACGCTTGATGAAGTGCTTGAGGCTTCGCTATCGACTAATTCCGTCATCTTATCTGTAGTAGGTCCTACTGGTGAGGTGCTCATGATGCTTCTCAGTAATGATAATCTGTCAGTCTAGGCTTGCTTCAAACTTGCGCACCAGCCTGGGTTCAAGTAATTCAAGTTCGCCAAAGGAATCCAGCGCATTATAGTCTATAAATCTAATATTTAAACACCACACCATTCACACCCACACATAATCACATGTTTGAAAGGCATAAAAACGGTCGCCATCTTGAAAAACCAACCTCAATCCTACATATAGACCCCTTTCGGCGAGAAGTAGCAGCTTGTGAATATCATTAATTTTGCAATGAATATCATTATATCTCAGTTACGGTATACGCCCACATACAATAATTGGCCGCCATGTTTTACGTCAAGCAGCAAGTGCTTTCTGTGTCGTGGAGATCTTGATCACTACATTTTGAAGCTAAAAACTATTCTAGAGTCAAGAAAGATGCCACTAAGAGAGCCAACCTAGGAAGTATAGTGCAATACTCTTGTTGTATGAGCCTGCTTTCCTCTTTGGGCTGTGACAGAGAGTCAAGAACTGATCGTTCTGGCTCTCCCAGACTTCTTAAGTCTTCAAAATATCTTGCTATAGTAAAGAACAGTTGATATGAAGCCTCTCCTAGTCCTGAGTTCAGCACAATAAAAGTTTTATTGGCAAAACAGCTCTACTTTGCACATCAGCCATTGGAACTCTGCATAACTTTGACGTAAAACATGGCGGACAAAAATCCGTTCAATATTATTTCTTTGCATATACGGTATCACAAACTAATTCTCGCCTAAAGGGGTCTATAGGCTATCGCCTATATAATAATTTTAGAAAATTAATCATAACTATATAATAATTTTAAAAAATTAATCATAATAAACTTCATGCCAACAATAATCTATGAACTGTGTGCTCTCAAACTGTACGTACCAGCTGGCTCTACCTGGTCCGCTCTTTAAAAGGCACTGATATTGTTTGATGTTTGGTAGCAATAAATGAATCCAGTCATTGTGTGACTGAGACCCTCTTCGCCTGCTACCAACAATAAAAAGAAACTAATGACCTTTATTAGTAGAAAACATGAAATCCATGTGTTACATCACTACATAGATTGAACTTGAAGAATTGATATTAGAATTGTAAGTATATGACACACAAAACGAAGACAAGAGAAAGATAAAAGGAAGAAGTAGATCTACATGTGTATACATATGAATTAGTGTCATGATGATGAAGGACGTGTCATTTGTCTGTGAGCGAGATAAGCGTTCACTTCAACAGGGAAAGATGACTCCAGCTGTCTCACTAGCTCATCACGGAACATCTGTTCAACAAGAAATAAAATGGAAGACATTGTTAATAACATATCAGTGTACTTTATATGTCTCTGTCTTCCTTTGAACTGCTTGATAGTCCCCAAGTGTCTTTTCTAACTGATGCTGCGTGAATAGATCAGGATTACGACCATCATCAACGTAACTGAGACAAATTGATACAAACACAAGATCAACATGTAGTCCAGTGACTGGTATTAATTAATTTTGCTATGTAGATAAAGTATTATTTCTCACTTCAGTACTTGTACTGGTATATCAATGTCACTGAAATTGTCTTTCTCCCTGTCCAGCATTCTCATATGTTCCACAGCAGTATTACTATACAAAATGAAGACAGTGAAAGCAGAATAGACTATCATGAAGTAAGGCCTTCTCTTACAGTCTCTCGTTAAGAACTCCCTGTCCATTTTGTTGAAAGTTGCCAGCTATTACCCCCACTACCCTGAGGTTCTCAATAAAAGACTCCAAACGATCCTCAAGCTCTTCTAACTTACTACTAGGACCAGCAGCCATCTTGAAGAGAAAACCTGTCCCTGACTGACAGTCCCTCGGTGCACCCGGTTCGTACACTGTCTTTTCTGGTCACAATAGATAGGAAAAGTTCGGAACCCTCCCATCACACATGACTGTAAAAGTTCCGGTTATTAACTAGAGTAAACAATCAAATATCGGACTAATCAAAATTCGGACAGTTATATTTTTAAAACTTAAGATGATTTTTCAGTGATTCTTGCACTAGATTTAGATCATTATAATACCTGTTTGCATGGTAAAAATCAAAGCATCACCTTCTTTCTTTGTAAAGATATAACTTGCTAAA